CGAGCACCCGGCTCACACATATTCCTTGGCAGAATTCGACTTAGGGTAGGAGCGGGGTGCACGGTATACAGCTTTGCTTTCACTGCCAGGACAGGAGCAAGAGAGCAGGGCACCTCCCAGGAGGACCAGAGCAGACCCTGCCCAGCCAATAAAGATGGCAGGACCAAACTCATACCTGTGGAGAGAAAGGATTGGAGTCAACTGGGGCTTGATGTCCTCCTCCCTGTCCCAAGTCCACAGATTTGTCTCCCTAGAAGACTTACTTAACATTCATGGGTGTCAAGGGGTTATAAAAGTCCGTGACAATCTGATGACCAATCCAGGAGCATGCTACCAAGGCAGCAAGACCTAGAAAGAGAAAAAAAGATTCTGCTATTTATTGGGTGTCCAAACCAAGACCTTGGCATGCTGTTCTGGGTGGAAAAGAGCACTTGATCCCACGTTGGACCTGTGGCTCACCTGCCACGATGAAAACAATGCCTCCGGTCATGGCTATACGGGCCTTCTTCACTTTGTCATCACCCCCACAGCTTGTACACTTCATGCCCATCGTGGCGACAAACATGGCCAGGAATCCCAACACCAGGGACACCACCATTAGGGCTCGAGTGGCCTGCAGAGCCGCTGCAGAGGAGGAGGAGGAAGGAGGTCAATGCTGGAAATGGCATGTAGCCTTAGGATGGCGCCAGCCTAAGTGCTGCAAACCGCGCCCACTAACCCCTGGACCGCAGTGTGCCAGTTGGGCTCCACCGCCAGCCTGGGGCCCCCTCCGTCCAAGACAGTCCTAGGGCAGACAGTTCCCGCCCCCATCCCGCCACGACGGCCATCCAGCTCCCCGCCCCGCCCCAGCTTCAGAACCCGCCCGGGGCGCCGAGGTTTCGATGAAACCGCGCCAGGTAGGGGGAAGGGAGGAAGAAAGGGGGCGAAAGGGAAGTGCAGGTGGCGGCCAGGGCCCTCGTTTGAGCCACACGGGCCGGCGCGTGTCCTAGCTCTGCCCTCGCTATCGAGGCCACCGGGTTTGTGGCTTCAGCTAATCGGCCGATAAGATTAGAGGCCACAAGTGCGGTCCCACGTCTAACGAGGGCACCACTGCGGCCCTAGGCGCCTCCGTCCCGACCCCCGTTTGTCCCAGAGAAAGAAGCAGCAGACAGAGACCACTGACTGCCCAGGGCGCAGGGGCGCCTCTTCCCAGGACTCCCCACTTCAAGCGGGGCAGAGGGGCGTGAGCCCACGTGTGACTGCCGGGTCCCAGGCCCTCTTCCTCCGGATCCCACCCGACTGGGCTCAAGGCGTCCACTTCCTGCTCCCTGGCAACCCCGGGCGCCAGGCCGTGCGACCTCAGCCCTGCCCCACACCCAACCCCGCCACCTTGACTCCGGGCACGTCCGCCCCGTCGGTCCCGCGGCCTTACCCGGCAGGGCGAGCACTGAGTCGTACGTTTTGCAGCTCATCATGCCGGTACTCTGCGTGACGCACTCCATCCAGAGCCCCTTGTACATGGCCTGGGCTGTGATGATGTTGTCGCCAGCATACGAGCTCATCTGCCACTGAGGAATGGCAGTGCTCGCTATCAGGCCCACCCAGCCAAGCATGGCCATTGAAAAGCCCAGCAGTTGCAGGCCCGAATTGGCCATTTCCGTCTCAGAAAAGATGGGACGCGCCGGGAGGGCGACCCTACAGTAAAACAAAATCCGGGAAGCAACACAAGAAAATTTGGACGGAGGTTTAAGTCACCCAGAAACAGGAAAAAAGAAAGTTTTGGGTTTGTTTGGTTTTTTTTTGGGGGGGGGAGCGGTTGGCCGGTTAACTGTAAATCTTGTTAACCGAGGTAAAAACAAATCGTCCCCTCCGGTGAAGCGACACTCACAGCAGAGGGAACCGGCTTCGCCCGAAGGACTGGTTCCAGACAAAAGGGGCCCCCGAAGGCCAGGCGGCTCCCTCCGGCGTGCGCAGAGACTACCCAAAGAAGTGGAGGGGCCGCTAGGGCGTGGCCCCCAGAAAGTACGCGGGCCCCCGGGCCCAGGCTGCGGTGCTCGGCGGAGAGCTGGGCGGCGAGCAGCAGGTGCGGGCGGACAGGTGCGGCGCACCTGAGTATATATGTAGGGCGTCGGGGACGCGCTCCCGCAGGCAACGGGAGCGCGGGAGCCGGGGCGGGACCAGAGGGGCAGTGGAGGGTGACCTGACGTCACCGAAGGGACACTCACCTGAACCGGAAGTCTTGGCCCCCACCCCCTCCTTGTCCAGCCAGGTGAAGAGGAAGAAACCTGAGCGCAGCGTCACGCCCCTTCATTTGCCTGGCTCTAACCGCTGATGGGAAGTAGGTGAGGGCGTCGCACGAGTCCCTGGAGTCTCCGCTGCGGACTCCAGAGTGCCCCTTCCTTTCTTCTGCAGACAGGTGCGCCTGGGTCACTGCGGAGCCAGTCCCCTAGACGCCCTGGAAGGGCTCCCGGCCGCGCTTTCCCTGCGGGTTTCGGCGCGTACTCTTTGTCCAGCCCTGCTTTCGCCTCCACACTCACCTTTTTTCTTCAGTCTCCTACCATGGCCAATGCTGTCTTCAGGAGCCCTAGCCCGTTATGATAAAAATCACAGGTGCTACACCCTTCTAGGAATTTCTGCCTCGGAGACATGGTCTGGCAACCCTCCGCTTCACGGCTCAAGCCCTCCACGCAGGCATGGCTCTTCAGCGGCTCCACATACTGGTCCCTGAGGCCAGTACGGATAACAGGACTTACTACCCGAGCCTGTCAGTGCCTCCTCCAACATCCAGGCTCCTTCTTCCCAAAGGAAGAAAGCACAGAAACCCTTTCCTCCCAGGGTGAGGAAAGAGTAGAGTAGAACCTAGGTCAGAGTCGCTGCCACACCCAACATTCCCCTCCCCAGGTGTCGTTTCAAGCTTACCCTCCACTCTCACCTCCTTCCCCAGACACACTTTCCCTCATCCTGAGCCTCCGGGGTCCTATGTGTGTCTTTTCACACCACCTCCCACCCACTCTAGCCTCTGACTCCCCAAGGTGTCCTTGACACACCCCTAAAGAACCGGATCTCAGACTTCCCAAAGTTTGGCGGCATCCTTCTGCCCAACGTAAAGTTTCTCATTCCTCCCTTTTGCATTTTTGCTCCCTTTCAGTCTGTTTGCACCCTCCAGAGCCTAGCCGTCCAACCACACAATGTGCCTGTCACTGCCTTCCCTAACCCCCTTTTTAGTTCTTTCTCCTAGCTTGCCTCTCCTAGGACCTCCTTACCTCTCTCAGACTTTCATACATCTTTCTTACTCTTGCTATTGCTTGTTTATTTGGGCTCCCGGGGTGGGGGAGTAGTAGGGTTCCTAGACAGGGTTTCTTTGTGAAGCCCTGACTGTCCTGGAACTCACTCTGTTGACCAGGCTGGCCTCGAACTCACAGAGATCCGCCTGCCTCTGCCTCCCGAGTACTGGAACTAAAGGCGGCATGCGCCACCACTGCCCTTCTTGCTATTTTTCAGTCAGCCCCTTCCCCTTCCCCACGTTCTTCCTTCCCCTAATACATCTCTCTGTTAACCCTCCCTTCATTTATCCAATAAAGGTCCTGCTTGTTCAGCTAACTAACCTGCTTTTGTATAAAATGCAGACCTTTGTGGACTCTCTTATTTGTGACCTTTTGACTTTTGTTTTGTGGGGTGGTTTGGTTGGTTGGTTAACTTTGAGACAGGATCTCACTATATAGACTAGGCTAGACTGAACCTTACAGGAAGGCTGCCTGGCTCTGCCTCTGGCATGCTGCTGAGATTACAGACCTGAACTTCTGTGCACAGCTGGGATTTTTTTTACGTTTTTTTTTTTTTTTTTTTTTTTTTTTTTTTTTTTTTTTTTCCTGCTTGGATGTGGTTGGTGCATGCTAAAGAACAGTTTGAAGCCAGCCTTCCAGGAGAGTGTCTTCCAGCTCTGAAAGTCCATGTTTCTCATTATCCCTTTGTTTTTATAACCAGCAATCATTCTCACAGCCACATGCCAACCTACTATCTACTACCTGAAGACCACAACTGGCCCCAAATCAATTTCCCTGCTTCTGCCCTTTCCTAAATCCACTCCCCAGAGTACCCAATATACTTAAATCTTGCCATTCTTTTTTAAAACAGCACTTAGTGAGGGGAGAGGGGCTTGGGAGATAGCTCAGCAATTAAGAGAGTTTACTATTCTTGCAGAGGACCAGAGTTCAGTCTCCAACACTCACACTGTGACACTCAATCCTGTTACTCCAGTTCTAGGTGATCCATTGCCTCCTCCTCCTCCTCCTCTTCGTCTTCTGTTTCTTTTTGAGACAGGGTCTCTCTGCATACCCCTAGCTGTATTGGAACTTGCTCTGTAGACCAGGATGGCCTCAAACTCAAAGATCTGCCTGCCTCTGCCTCCCAAGTGCTGGGACAACTGGCATCATCATCATCACTTTTTTCTAACTTTTTTGGTTTTTGTGAGACAGGGTCTCTCTTTGTAGCCCTGGTTGTCCTGAAACTTGCTATGGAAACCAGGCTGGCCTTGAATCACAGAAATTCTCCTGTTTCTGCTAACTGAATAATTGGATTAAAGGAGCTAGAATTTGCAGGGCAGTGGTGGCACATACCTTTAGTCCTTAGCACTCAGGAGGCAGAGGCAGATGGATCTCTGTGTTCTACAGAGTGAGTTCTAGGACAGCCAGGGCTACACAGAGAAACCCTATCACCCTGTCTCAAAAAAAGGGGGGGGGGGCTGGGCAGTGGTGGCGCACGCCTTTAATCCCAGCACTAGGGGGGCAGAGGCAGGTGGATCCCTGTGAGTTCGAGACCACCCTGGTCTATAAGAACTAGTTCCAGGGCAGCCTCCAAAGCCACAGAGAGAAACCCTGCCAAAAAAAAAAAAAAAAAAAAAAAGGAATGTATCACCTTGCCCAGTTCCAATGCCTCTTCTGACCTCCTCCAGCTCCCACATATACTCAGACACATACACATAAAAAATAGCTAAATAAATATTAAAAACAAAGTAAAAATCACTCAGTGGCAGTTTTTTTTTTTTTCTCCATTGTTGTGGGTTGAACCCAAGAGCCTCACATTAGTGTGCTTGTCACTGAGCTACACCCAAGTGGCACTCTCGACTAGTGATATATCTGCCTTGTCACTCAGTTATGTTGGCCTTCTCTCTTTCCCCAAAACATACTATGCATGTTCTACCCACTAAAGCAGCTCTCTGTTCTCTATGCTTGAATGCTCCCATCCGTTTACCCTACCCACCTTCCTCTACCAGCTAACACATTCATTCATCCTTCAGCATTTGGCTGAACTCTCTTCTAGGAAGCCTAGCCTGACTACCCCACCCACGCTGAGTCAGGTCATCTGCTCAAGGCTCTTATGGTTACCTGTATTTCCCTGTCAAGGCTCTTATCATAGTCTGAAACTATTTTTGTGTGCTTAGGGATTGAGTATCAATTTCCCTGCTGCACTGTAAAGTATAGATGTGTCTAGATTTTTATTACCAATGCATGAATTCTGAAAAAAAATTCATCCACTGCCTCACAAGTGTTTTCTGAATGCCTATAAATGTATTGGGCACTGTAATTAACCCTGAGGATACACTGGTAGACAAGACAGATAAGGACAAGCTGCTCATCTGGCTTATTTTCTAGGAGGAGGATAAAGCAGGGCAATAAAGACATAAAATGCTGCTTGTTTTGAAGGCAATGAAACAAGGTAATGTATAAGGTTGGGTCCAATCTCGAGTGAGATCAGGGAGACTTTCTGAGCAAGTGACTGTTAATAATGAGTCAGTCATGAGGGAACCATGCTATAGGCAGAAAGAAGAACAAGAGCAAAGGCCCTGTGCCGGTAAACTCTCTGGAGCTTAGTCATTGATTTGAAGCAGGATTGTGTTGGTTTTGTTTTATTTTGGTTGCGGTTTTTTGTTGTTGGGTTTTTGTTTTGGTTAGTGTTTGTTTGTTTGTTTGTTTGAGACAAGATCTTGTTTTGTGGTCCAGGGCAGCCTGGACTTCATGACCCTTCTGCTTCCAAGTGTTGGAATTACAGGCATGAACAACCATGCCTGGCTTTTTTGGCATTTTTTGAGACAGGATCTTACTATGTATGCCTGGCTGGTCAGGAACTCACAATAATTTACAATAACACTCTTGCTCTTCCCTTTCTGTTGCTGGGATTAGAGGCTCATCGCTTATGTTGGCAATGTCAATACTTGGAGCTAGAAAGTCTTTGCTACTGTGGGTAGTATAGTACATTTAACAGCATCCTGAGATCTGCCAATGTTAGTAGAGATGAGATGTCACTAGACCCTCTGTCACACCTCAATATGACACTAAGCTGGGAATGGTGGCTCACACCTTTATTGTTTAATCTTGGGAGGCAGAGGTACCAACTGTGGTAAGTCCAGTTATCCATCCATTTGAGTTCTTGCAGTCAGTGGTTTATTTCAAATATACTAGAGGGAGGGGGGGAAAACACAAGGATGCTCATTAGTGACACTAAGCCACTGAGTTTGTTAGCTGGAAAGAGGAAGGTGAGTGGGACAGATGGATTAGAATACTCAAGGGAGGGGCTGGAGAGATGGCTCAGAGGTTAAGAGCACTGACTGATCTTCCCAGAGGTCCTGAGTTCAATTCCCATCAACCACATGGTGGCT